GCCTGACAAGCTCGACAGGTACGTTTAAATGGGTGGATCCCATACAGTTAGCGGCTCATAGCACGAGTAAGAACCTATACTATCATACCGCAATCAGAACTTCTAATTTTAATATTTTTTTATCTTGTTTCAAAAAAAAAAAAAAAAAAAAAAAAAATAGCTTATAAATACATTGAAAACAACATACAACAGATTTTTCCTGTAATATATTTGTCAGTTGCAGATTATTAAAGACTAAGGTTGATGAAGTCATACATCTGGCAGTAAGCATCTAGGGGACTGCAGCTCCTATGGACGAGCCGCCACTGGTCCCATAGTACTATGGCTTTGAAGCATGGGTCGGTCCCATAGTACTACAGCATGAGCTCAGCTCAGTCAGATAAGCTATGAGGGGTAAATTTGGGTTTAGATATGCTTAAGTGTGCACCATATAAAAAAAAACCTGCAGCAACCAGTGCTTAATGGGTAAAAAACTGCAACTGTATTTTCGGTTTAATACAGCAACTTTGCAGTGTACTTTCGTATGAATTTTATGGTTGTATTCTCGGTTTCTTTTTCTCATTTGATAAAATGGAAAATATCTTATAGAAATAGAGATGATTTTGATTGGTTTCAGGACTTAAAGTAGCTTGAAATTGAGCTTAAAGTAGCAGAAATGTTGGATTTTTGCTGATAATCCAGAGTACACAAATTACGTCACTCGTCTAATACATGTCCAACTGGTCAGTTTAGCTAATACATGCCCACAAATGCAATGACATAATTTTTGCAATAATTACAATAGTGCAGTTGTCTGCATAACAGTAAATCTTTTTTTGTGTGAATAAAAATTCAAAATGGAAAGCATGTGTAATATAGGAGAGGCCTGGGGATGTAACTAATGAACAGAGGAAATGGTTTTCAGTGGCAGGAATGTCTACATTGTTTATTTTGGACCCTATTTTTAAATTGGCAGTTTTTGAATTTTGTGTGATATTGGCCCAATTACCAATTTCTGATCACTTTATTCAGTAATTGAAATTGGTAAATGAGTGGTTTCTTGTACTCCATCGATAGAATAGAAGGAATACTAGCTAAATAGCTTTGAGTTTGGCTGACTGAAACAATGGAATTGGCCAAAAATAGGGCTGAAAGTGGGCAAAATCGCCAATGCATAAATATCGCCAAGACTGCAAAAGCATAATTCCGTAAGTTTTTTAATTAATTTTGTACATTTGGTTTCATTATCTTCAGAAAAAGATTGTCTCTCATTTCATAAGTTTTTTTATTTTTTTAAGATCAGGGGTCTTGACCTCGAAAGGGTTAAAATAGCCGTGAAGTGGACCAAATCCACTATATCAAACGGCTATCAGGTTCAATAGCACATCTGACAAAATGGACTGAATCCACTTAATCACAAGTTTGTACGGTCCAAGGTTTGTCTGGACATGTCCACTTTTATTGTTCCTGGGCAGCAAGACCAGCCAGGCACTGCCTACATCAGTGTGTTGTCTGTGTGCACATTCATGCCATTATTATTTCATCTCTAATTTTCCTCTGGAGTTACAGTGTTTCTAATAATTTTATTAAAGTAATGTGTACAATCTCCATGGGGAAGTGGATAAGAATTCTTCTTCCATAAGCCATGCATGTCATAAGAGGTGACTGAAATGTTGGGAGCAAGGGGCTAGTAACTTCTTCTCCTGTATAAACTACTTTCATTTTTCTTTTTGGGTCACCCTGCCTTGGTGGGTTATGACCGGTTTGTTGAAAAAAGAAAAATGTGTACAGCTTTATTAATAATGGCCTCTTAAGCAAGTGCTGGTTTCAAGAAGAAAAGTGTGACCTTAACTGTTAAGCAGTGACTTGGATTAATAAGGAAGCTCGAGGCTGACATTCCAGTGGCCTGGGTGTGTGAGGAGTATGGAGCATGTACTCCACTGCATTGTATTGTACTTTCAACCAATTTTCTTTTCAGGTTCATTTATAGGTAACACTGTATTGTACTCTGGTATATTCCTAGTATATCTAGTAGTCCATCAATACAGCGGACTAAGCATGTTTTATTTCGAATTTGTCCATGTCCAGTAGCCAATCGATTAAGCAGACTAAAACCTCTTAATTAAAACATTCAATAAATTTTTTGGTAAATTGGATACACCCCCTTCCCCTATTAGTTTGTTTTATCAGACCTTTACTATAATTACCAATGTAGCTGCATGGTGTAAATGCTTGAAACATGTGGGGTAAAATATATGAATACTATAACATTGTTTTATATTTAAATACTATGGGAGACCAAGTAGCACTACTTAGTTTAACCAAACTCAAAATGGTAAACTGTCATTTTTTGCTTATGTTCTTATGTAATTTAATTTAGGTTTTGATACTCTACAATCCTACAATGAAATCAAATGCCTACTAGAGAGATTTAATGAATAAAATGGCATTATCAAATAATGACATTTTCTAGAAAATATGTGAACAACTCTCTCCTTACAGACTAGACATCAACAGGAATATAAGTAATCTGTACAACAGAAGGAAGGGTACCAGAAGGAGAAGTTACTAAGAGTCAAAGAGCTGTAAAAATGGCATTCAAAAGTTTGACTGACATTACAGAATTTAGATGGATGACCAAACCACCAGCAATGTCAACACTGTTTCACATTGGGCACAAGCCCAGTTAACACCAAATGCTGCCTACCAAATACTGTATAAAATACAGTATACACTTAATGGGAGAGAGTAGCAGAGAAACATTTTTCTGATACACTGCTTGTGCACAGGTCAAACAAATTCCTTGGAGACAGGCACTACTTGTGTCCATGGGGAAGTGAAACAGAATTCTTCCTCCATAAGTCATGCATGTTTTAAGGGACAACTAAAATGCTGGGAGCAAGGGGCTAGTAACCCTTTCTCCTGTATATATTACTAAATTTAAAAAGAGAAACTTTCATTTTTCCTTTTGGGCCACCCTGCTTTGGTGGGATATGGCCAGTTTGTTGAAAGAAGAAGGAGGCACTACTTGTAATTTGGATGGATTATCAGCTAAAGAATCATCCTTCGTGCAAACAATATGAAAGGTATTACAGTGATACTGTGGCCATGAGAGAATTAAGACAGTACCATGGCCACCAGAGGACATAGGTGTGGGGACAAATTCATTATTATCAAGAACTTTTCCAATACAAATACTTTGACCACAATTCCTAGTCTAAGACTGACACTAATGCTGGTGTGAAGATAGTGAAAAGACATTTTTGGTTAAATGGGAAATGTTATGTAGGAGTGAGAAGTGGTAGATCTACTGGGCTGAATAAGAGTGTTAGCTAGTGTTTTGTGAAAGCCAAATGAATTTTATAATCCATCCAAGATCTTTCAGGATCAGACTTGCTTTCTGGTTGTGTACCTAACAAGTCTTGAGGGTAATAAACAAATCCATATTCAAATCAACTATACCTCACAACTTACTTATTACTATCTTTCTACTGAAGAAGAGACTAAGCTACAGTTGACATGGGTTTGGTTCCTGCATTTCCAGGGGATTTCCAAACTGTTGAGCTCCATGATTCAAAAAAGGTTTACTCATGTTCACCCAACCAGTGAGTGAAACCAATGACCTTTATGAAAGTCCCAAGCTGGTGGCAGCAGTTAGACTGACTTTTCTTAGCAGGATAAGAAGTAGATAGAGCTCTGACAGTATATAATGAGTCACAGAAACAACACAAGCACCCACAATGCAACAGGGAAAGATAAATAACTACAAAGGAAACACACACAAAAGTTCAATGAATTTAAGAGACTTTATGTCCTTATTGTTTTTTCAGGTTTAATGAATTTAACCCTTTGACTGTCGCAACCCCCAATCCTGAGGTGTCTCCTGGTGTCGCCAAATTTAAAAAAAAAAAAAACTATTTTTTCTTATGAAATGATAGAGAATCTTTTCCCGATTGTAATGACACCAAAAAAACGAAATTTGATGGAAAACTGACAGAATTATGCTCTCGCGAAGTTAGCGACCTCGGCGCTGTTTACAAATCGGCGATTTCGCGCACATTGAGCCCTATTTTCGGCTAATTCCATTGTTCCAGTCGCCCAAACTCATAGTTATTTCTTTAGAACTCCATTTTTTCTATCGATTGAGTACAAGAAACTGCCCATTTACTGATTTCAACTACCTAATAATGTGGTCAGAAATTTGCAATTTGGCCAATTTCACGAAAACTAAAAAATATGACAATTTCAAAATAAGGTCCAGAATGAACAATGCAGACATTCCTGGCTCTAAAATAACATTTTCTTTGCTCATCAGTCATGTCTCCAGGCCCCTCTGATATTACTCTTGCTTTCTATTTTGAATTTTTATTCAAACAAAAAATAGAAGACTTACTATTATGCAGACTACTGCAATACTGTAATAATTGTATAAATAACATCAATCCATTCATGACTGCATATTAGAATGGCTAGTTGGACGTTTATTGGACAATGACATCATTTGTTTACTTTTGAACATTGGCAAAAATCAAACATTTCCCCTACTTTGAGCTCCATTTCTAGGTTCTTTTTATAGTAAAATCAATCAAAATCACCTCTATTTCTGTAATAAGTTTTCCATTCTATCAAATGAGACCAAGAAAACGAGAATACAACCATAAATACTATACGAAAATAGACCACAAAGTCAGCATTTTAATTAAAAAAAAACGGTCGGAGTTTTTTTTTTCTCATTATGCACTGTGTGCTCCAGGATTTTTTTTATATGGTGCACACTGACCACACAGACCCATTCTCTCACATGTGGGCCTACCAGCTTTCTCCTGCTTGATTTGAAGCTGCTAGAATTTATGAGTATATAACTTAGATGCACACTTACCAAGAATTACATAAAATTACACTGATCTTCAAAAATTTATTTTTACTTTACTGTATGGACACAAAATCTAATAAAATTCATGAAACCAGGAAAGTAGTTGAGACTGAAGATGAAATGGCCATATAGAGCCCATAAAACTTACATTCAAAAGTTTCAATAGGTTATCATGCACCCTCTTCTTATCCTCTTCTGATCTCATCAGCTTAGTGCCCATAAATTCTAGGGCTAGGCCAAAGTACTCAGTGATGGCAGCGGTATTGTATGCACACTGAAGGGCCAAGGCCGACACAGATGATAAAAGACTCCACCACTTTTCGCTTCGGTAGTCCCACATCACATGATTCAGCAAGCTGTGGGCAGTACAAAAATTATGATATACAAATATCTATTAAGGAATACAAAAAAACAAATATACAGTAGAACTCCTATATCAGAGGATTTGGTTTCCACTGTTTCAGTTATCCATGATTTACTGTGGCCTAAAAATAAGCTTTAATGTTGTTTAATAATGATCACAAAGCACAAAAGTGGTGATAGTTGCAGTGCTTCAAAAAGAAACCATGAAGTGTTTCCTATCACTGAAAAAGTACTAATTCTCAACTTATTGTGTGTAACTCATTAATTAAACTAATCTACCCTTACCTCCCCTATGGTATTTGTGCTTGGAAATCTACTATGTCTAAGCATCTTAAACCATTAATTAATAACTAAACAAAAACCTGCTGTACGGATGATCACCAATTTCCGCACCAGACAACACACCCCTCCACTCTTCAAGAGTTTGAACTTACTTAATATACAAAATATGCACTTATATTATTGTGCCTACTGCATAAATAGAACATTAATCCTTTAAGGGTCCAGACCTCCAGTCTGAAAATTCCCCACAGGGTCCAAGAATTAAAAAAAAAAAAATTATTATTTTTTTCTTATGAAATGGTAGAGAATCTTTTTCTGAAGGTAATAAAACAAAAAGTATGAGATTTAATAAAAAATTTACAAAATTACACTCTCGCAAATTTTGCTGTATCAGTGTTATTTACCCATCGGCAATTTTGCCCACTTTGGGTCTTATTTTCGGCCAATTACATTGTTGCATTAGACCAAATTCTTAGCTATTTAGCTAGTATGTGTTCCATTTTATCTACTGAGCACAAGAAATTGTCTAATCAACTATTTCAACTACCCAATAAAGTAATCGGAAATTGGTAATTTGGCGAATTTCACATAAAGTTCAAAATATTCTAATTTTAAAATAGGGTCCAGAATAAACAATGTAGACATTCCTGGCACTAAAATAACATTTCCTCTGTTTATTACTTAAGTTTCCAGGCTTTACAGATGAATTCCATTTTATTTTTTATTCACGCCAAAAAATAGCAGATTTACTGTTATGCAATATTGGAATAATTGTATAAATAATATCAGCACATTCGTGAATGCACATCAGATCCACCAGCTGACATGTATTGCAAGCGTGATGTGATTTGTTTACTCATGAATAGCGGCAAAATCAAACATTTATGCTACTTTGAGCTCAATTTCGAGTTATTTTGAGTATTAAAACCAATCAAAATCATTTCTATTTCTGTAACATATCTTCCATTCTATCAAAAGAGACCATACAAAAATACACTGCAAAGTCACTGTTTTAATCCAAAAACATGGTCGTAGTTCTTTTCTCATTATGCACTGCATACTGCAAAATTTGTTTTTGGTTGATCCACGCCAACAACAAATACTCAACATCTTCGAGTATTTGCGATCTCTTTTTTGTGAGCATATCTACCCCTTTTGCAACAACAGCTTCGTTGATTTCCTTTTCTCTCTCCAAAATGGAAGTGATGGATGTATGGGGCTTCCCATACATCCTGGTAAGATGGGCCACACGCACACCAATTTCATATTTTGCAATGATTTCTTTCTTGAATTCTATCATGTTTCTCATATTCTTTACCAAAGGGCTGGCACTAGAAGCTTTCTTTGGGTCCATGGTGGCTTATTTTGCAGTTGCAAACACAAAAATTAATGGAATACATGTATTACGAAATGTATTATATGAACGTGTGGGGTGATGGTCACTTGCCAATAAACAATGCCAAACTGACTGGGAATGGTGTGTGGGGCACCTTTGTGTGGCGCAGATGCTGGGAGGCTGCTCATACGCATTCTGGATGACTGACAAATGGCAAGGCAAATTACGAACCACGAGGTTATATTCTGATGAAAAAAGTTGTCGAAAGACGAAATTTATGAAGCGCGAGGCTTACGAAACTCGAGGGTCCACTGTTAATAGAAAAGATGAAGTACCACAAGCTTAGTTTTGCTCTTATAAATACAAACAAGTAATCACAAAAAGAACATTACTATACAGAACTAGGCCTGTTCTGTATAGTTATGTTTTGTCCTGTTCTGTTCTGTTGTGTTTTGTCCTGTTCTATTCTATGTTTTGTCCTGTTCTGTCACATTTAGTCCTATTCTGTTCTGTTATGTTTTGTCCTGTTCTGTTCTGTTATGATATGCTTTGCTCTGTTATATTATGTACTGCTCTATTATATTCTGTTCTGTTGTTGCTCAAAATATAAGACTGATAATTAAACCAACTTCAGCAATCAATTATGATGGCCAGCTTGCCTTTCTTGCATACAAAACAACACTCTTCCAGACAACTACTGTGATTACAATGATGTTAATTATAATTATACTGTTGTGAGTAAAGGATTTAGAGGAATTCTTTATTCCTTGGAAGTTTATAAAGAACTTCAGAATTTGGCCTGTTAAAAAATTTTCCCTCTCAAGCAACAAGGTATTGAATTAAAGCTAGTTTAATATATTTTAGAGTCTAGGGGTAATTTCAACTAGGAAACTTAATACAATAATATTAAAAAACTTATTATGTTTAATTTTAAAGCATTTGAATACAATATTTTATCTTCTCTTTGTACATAATATTATATCTTAATACTGTAAGTACAATAGTTTTATATATTTACAGAAATATATATATAAAGTTCAAACACATGGAAATATCACATTAACAATGAACACTAATCTTTAACTCTTTAAAATTTAAGACTTCACAAACATCCAAGTCTTTGCCTCAACAAGACTGTATTAAACCCAACTGCATAAATGTACAAAATTTAACAAGACCTCTGAATTCTGTCATAAAGAAGACAGACAGCAAGAATTTGTCTGAAAAGACATATCTCTAAAGATTGCTGGAATGCCCAAGAATATATACAAATTAATCTTCGGAACTATACTGAATGAACTATGAGCCAGCTCTTAAGTCTAATTCTCAAGAACATTCAAACTGAGTGAATCTAAGAGAGAACCAAAATATGATCAGTAGTCAGGGCTAGATCAGGGAGCAGACTGACTTACTGCCAGTCTGTTGACTTGTCATCAGGTTGGATCACGTGACCCAAACGTCAGTAAGCTGAACTTAAACAAGTGAACAATTTACCTGATGGTTTCCTGACTTTTGTATGTTCTACACGCATATAAGAAATCCTACCTAACAATAATAATAACTAAAAATCATTGATATCGATAATAATAATAGTAATAATAATAATAATAATGATAATGATAATACATGGTATAATTTATACACTGACAGATAATAATATAACGCTGAAAATCTCTATTTTAGCTATAAACGGAGACTTCTGCGCTATAATATTAAGTGATAATCACATTCTCAGACAACAGTTAAATATTACAGGATGACCTATCTCCAAGGTACAACAATACTATTATATTCAGGGAAAAAGCTAACCCCACAGAAATCAGGGACAGGGGTAATCAGGTTTGATCCACAGAAAAGAACAGCAATTCCAATTTCTTGGAACAATAGTTTCATCACAGTCAAGGCACTCCATCCTTTCTCCCTCAAAGGAGGATGATGCTAGAAAGATTCATTTTCTAAACAGGTACTGAATATTACTGAAGTAATGTTGGTTAATGAGTGAATAAACTTACGTAAGAGCCTTGGAGGAATCATTGGCTTGATGATATTCTTCTGCCATCTGAACCATAAGGTGTCGCTTAATACGTGGACATCGATATTTCTTAAACTGACTAATTGCTGAAGAAAATAATGGAATGATGGTGTTGGAATGATTTACTTCTTTTACTTCATGGTACTGGACCTCCTATAGCAAAAAGAAATTATTCATGTTAAAGAGCACAATCTAATGTACCATAATTAGTGAACTAATTGCAATACAAATGTGTCCCTCATTCAATCATTATCTTGCCAGAAGGGTGTGACAGTGACTGACTGATAATGACTATTTTCTTCTTGTTAGGTCACCTTACCTCTGTGGGACACGGCTGTGGGTGTTAACAAAAAAATGCACACACACATATGTACAGTAGGCATCATACATCTGCACACACACAAACAGATCACAAAAAAAAAGAAACTACTCACTATAACCTATTGTTTCAAATATATAATACTAAAATATGTACATAGATGTATATGTTTCTCTCCTAAACCAGTATTTTGTAGTATTACTTCCTCTTGATTCACTCCTTAAGTCCCCTAGGCACTGATAAAACTAAGTTATATGAAGGATAGACAAGTCAATACCTTCTGACATCTGCTTAATATCACTCAAGATTCTGAGGTCAGAGGGAACATCTATGCCATGAATCTTACACTTAATAAGTTTCCCAATATTCTTTATCAGATTTAAGTTCAGTGAGTTTCTGGATCAGTCATTAAAGTGTGGAAAATTCACAATAATTTAGCCAGTTCTTCATATTAGTGGCAGTATGGCAAGTGGCACTGTCTTCCATACACAAGAGTACGGAAGAATACATTGGATGAAAGTGAATCCAAACGCTGAATGGGGCATTAGAGTTAGGCAGGTGTTACAAAATTATATGCAATACTATAAAGATATACATGCTGGTAAAAAGAAAAAACAACTGTGCAAACTATGTGCAAACTAAGTGTGTGCAAGAGTTTCCTGTGCATTGATCTGCACTAAGCAAATGGCTAAATATTTTTGTGATCCAACGCATTTAATCATATTGTTGGAATGCATTACATTAAAACACATTATAATAATACCTTAATCAGTACAGTACTGCATAGTACGGTATTTTTTTGACATGAATTAACTGCACTATTGCTGTATATAGCTATAATTTTATGATGTGTGAGAAATTTATAAATTGTACATACTTGTATGGCACACCAACCATTGTATACAACCTTTGTATACTTAAATTCATTTATTTTTTTTTTTTTTTTTTTTTTCAACAAGTCGGCCGTCTCCCACCGAGGCAGGGTGACCCAAAAAAGAAAGAAAATCCCCAAAAAGAAAATACTTTCATCATCATTCAACACTTTCACCACACTCGCACATTATCACTGTTTTTGCAGAGGTGCTCAGAATACAACAGTCTAGAAGCATAAACATATAAAGATACACAATATATCCCTCCAAACTGCCAATATCCCAAACCCCTCCTTTAAAGTGCAGGCATTGTACTTCCCATTTCCAGGACTCAAGTCCGACTTATGAAATAACCGGTTTCCCTGAATCCCTTCACTAAATATTACCCTGCTCACACTCCAACAGATCGTCAGTCCCAAGTACCATTCGTCTCCATTCACTCCTATCTAACACGCTCACGCAGCTTGCTGGAAGTCCAAGCCCCTTACCCACAAAACCTCCTTTACCCCCTCTCCCAACCCTTTCGAGGACGACCCCTACCCCGCCTTCCTTCCCTATAGATTTATATGCTTTCCAGTCATTCTACTGTATCCATTCTCTCTAAATGACCAAACCACCTCAACAACCCTCTTCTGCCCTCTGACAATACTTTTATTAACTCCACACCTTCTCCTAATTCCACACTCCGAATTTTCTGCATAATATTTACACCACACATTGCCCTTAAACAGGACATCTCCGCTGCCTCCAACCGTCTCCTCGCTGCTGCATTTACCACCCAAGCTTCACACCCATATAAGAGTGTTGGTACTACTATACTTTCATACATTCCCTTCTTTGCCTCCATAGATAACGTTTTTTGACTCCACATATACCTCAACGCACCACTCACCTTTTTTCCCTCATCAATTCTATGATTAACCTCATCCTTCATAAATCCATCCGCCGACACGTCAATTTATACCCTGAACAATTATTCTGTGTAACTCATTTCCATAAGGTGTGCCCAATGTTGCACACTTTTTCTTATTTAAAATCTACATAAAATGGTAGATGCCTTTAAGCAGAGAAACATCATCTCTATAAATTTTCTTTGTGTCTTATCTGTCCCTTATTTAAAGGCAGCTATACAAGAATCAGAAAAAATATGTAAAAACTAACCATTATGCCCTCTGCTTCTCTCTGTTGCTCTGGAGGTTCAAGAGAACGTTTGCCTGGTCTCCAGGGACGCTGCCCATAAAACTCTAGCTTACTCCAGCCCTCCAGTAAGTCTGAGACTGGAGCTGACACATCCTGCAAGAAAACAATTTTCAAAGATTATCTTCAATAACAAATATAGACCTCAAAAACAGTTAAGGCTAACTTTAAGTTTATTTGTTTTTTTACCTCAACAGTTATCTCCCACCAAGGCAAGGCAACCCAAAGAAGACACACTCACCATCATTCATTCAATCATTGTCTTTCCAGATGTGTGCTAACACCACAATCCAGACTGCCTTCCAACTACAACATCCTATTTCTGCCTTCAGAGTGAAGGTACTACCCTTCCCATCATGATTAAAATTAATCCGAAACCACTTTCGCAAAATATTTTTTCTTATTAAATCAATTCTATTCTGTGAAATATTTCAGTACAAATCTGTAGTATATGCAGTATATGTAGTATATCTGTAGTATATGCTTCTAAACTGTTGTGTTCTGAGCACCTCTGCAAAAACAGTGATTAAGTGTGAGTGAGGTGAAAGTGTTGAATAATGATGAAAGTATTTTCTTTTTGGGAATTTTCGTTCTTTTTTGGGTCACCCTGCCTCGGTGGGAGAAGGCCGACTTGTTAAAAAAAAAAAAAAAAATCTGTAGAAGAATAGAGTTCTTTTTCCGTAAGCCATGCGTGTCGTAAGAGGTGACTAAAATGCTGGGAGCAAGAGGCTAGTAACCCCTTCTCCTGAATATATTACTAAAGTTAAAAAGAGAAACTTTCATTTTTCTTCTTGGGCCATCCTGCTTCAGTGGGATACGGCCAGTTTGTTGAAAGAAGAAGAAATCTGTAGTGGAGGGAAGGAGGGGTAGGGGTCGTCCTAGGAAAAGATGGAGGGAGGGGGGTAAAAGAGGTTTTGTGTGCAAGGGGCCTGGACATGCAGCATGCATGTGTGAGCATGTTAGATAGGAGCAGACAGAGATGAATGGTTTTTGGGACCTGATGAGCTGCTGGAGTGTGAGCAGGGTAATATTTTGTGAAAGGATTCAGGTAAACCGGCTAGCTGGACTTGAGTCCTGGAGGTGGGAAGTACAATGTCTGCACTTTAAAGGAGGGGTGTGGGATATTGGCTGTTTGGATTTCATATCTAAACTGTCATATTTGGGTGCCTCTGCAAAGACAGTGATGCTGTGTGAATGAGGGTGAAAGTTTCTTTTTCAGGTCACCCTGCCTCAATGGGAGGCGGCCAACATGTTAAAAAAAAAAATCCTACATCTAGCAAAATTTGCTAATACACGAGCCACCTACAAGGACTATCAATTAACCTTTTTAATTATACTACTTTTTTTTTTTTTAACAAGTTGGCCGTCTCCCACCGAGGCAGGGTGACCCAAAAAGAAAGAAAATACCCAAAAAGAAAATACTTTCATCATCATTCAACACTTTCACCTCACTCACACATAATCACTATTTTTGCAGAGGTGCTCAGAATACAACAGTTCAGAAGTAAATACGTATAAAAATACACAATAAATGTATATCCCTCCAAACTGCCAATATCCCAAACCCCTCCTTGAGAGTGCAGGCACTGTACTTCCCATTTCCAGGACTCAAGTCCGGCTATATAAAATAACCGGTTTCCCCGAATCCCTTCACTAAATATTACCCTGCTCACACTCCAACAGCTCGTCAGGTCCCAAATACCATTCGTCTCCATTCACTCCTATCTAACACGCTCATGCATGCTTGCTGGAAGTCCAAGCCCCTCACCCACAAAACCTCCTTTACCCATTCCCTCCAACCTTTTCGAGGACGACCCCTACCCCGCCTTCCTTCCCCTACAGATTTATATGCTCTCCATGTCATTCTACTTTGATCCATTCTCTCTAAATGACAGCAACCACCCAGGGAGGTACTACCATCCTGCCAAGTGAGTGTAAAACAAAAGCCTGTAATTGTTTTACATGATGGTAGGATTGCTGGTGTCTTTTGTCTGTCTCGTAAGTATGCAAGATTACAGGTATTTCTTGCTACTTCTACTTACACTTAGGTCACACTACACATACATGTACACGTTTATTTATACACACTCATCTGAGTTTTCTTTGATTTTATCTTAATAGATCTTGTTCTTATTACTTTTCCTTTTATATTCATGGGGAAGTGGAATAAGAATCTTTCCTCCCTAAGCCATGCGTATTGTAAAAGTCAACTAAAATGCCGGGAACAATGGGCTTTTCCTGTAATAATTACTAAAAAGAATAAGAATTATACTACTGGTATGAAAGGCAAATTAATATCTGATCAGAATAAGCCATGATAATAAACCATTTTCAGATAAAGATGAACCCTGTAAACCAGAGGAATATGTGGACGTAAAAGGCAGAAAAATCATTAAAGACTAAACTTATAAATCTGTACTCTAGTCTAAAAAAAATTGGAATATAAATCATTACAGTATCTAAAAAGAAATAATACATTTCCTAATAACTACTATTGTAGAAAAATAAAAATCATAATGTCATGGTTGTAACAATTCACAACTTACAATTTGGAAATAATATTTTAGACGTTGTATCTATCCATCTTAGACCATTATCAAGTCTAGGATAGACTGAAATACTGTCTAAAGGTTCTTCAAATTGTGAGTTCTGAGAAGCTATTGCTATTATGTAGATGCTCTTGTTAATATTTGGTGAATGAGAGGCCAAATGTGGTCACAAATATGTCTACTAAAATATTAATGGGACTTGGGCTCAATTTTTTAATTTTTGCTCTGAATTCTCCTACAGCAAAAATTCTCTTTGTCAACTAGATCTGTACCTCACATCATGATCACATTCCCTCTTGTTCTACCTCCCTCTAGGGACAAGAGATCAAGCTTGTGCATTCTTTCCTCATACCATGCTCCTTTTGCTCCAATACCACTCTGGACTTCTCCATTTTCATTTGTGATTGACCACGTGAAGGATGAGGTATACCAGAGATTAGAGGTAATGATGATTGTAGGAGCAGTGTGTTAGGTGAAAAAAGGTAGACTGCCAATGAATGCACTAACAGTAATTTATCAGGGTATAATCATGCAAATTATTCTGTATTAAAGGGAAAAAGAGCTTTATGTAACTGCAGCAAGGAGGCTGGCAGAAGATATGTTTTACTTGAGAACAAAGTGTAAATTATTTTTTTTTATTAATACCTCTGCCATCTCCCACCAAGGTAGGGTGGCCCGAAAAAGAAAAACTTTCATCATCATTCACTCCATCACTGTCTTGCCAGAGGTGCACTTACACTACAGTTATAAAACTACAACATTAGGTATGACGGTATGAAAGAGATTTAGATGGAATAGACACAAAAAAGAATGGAGCAAGACTGACTGGTAGAAAAAGTGAATAGTCTAAGGTATTTGAAGTGTGGTTAAGTTAGAGAACAGTAATATCTATGAAAGGACTTGAGGAAAACAGTCTGCCAGGTTTGAGTTTTGATACTGTAAAGCATATTGCCTACTCTTTATAATAATAATAATCATAGGTAGTAGGTTGGTAAACAGCAGCCACCCAGGGAGGTACTACTGTCCTGCCAAGTGAGTGTAAAACGAAAGCCTGTAATCGTTTTACGTGATGGTAGGATTGCTGGTGTCCTTTTTTCTGTCTCATAAACATGCAAGATTTCAGGTACGTCTTGCTACTTCTACTTATACTTAGGTCACACTACACATATGTGTACAAGCATATATATATATATATATACACACCCCTCTGGGTTTTCTTCTGGCTTAGGTCTTTGAAAAGTAAGGGGAAGGGGAAGGTTTGTCTAGCTGTGGATTGTGTGATCATTCACACTCCAGCTTTTTATTGGGTTATTATTGGCTTTAGGTGATTTGTCATTGTGGATCCCCAAGCAAAAATGGCATAGGTAAGGCAGGGATAGATCAGTGAACAGTACAGAGTAAGTAGTGCTGTTTGTGGTACATAGTAATGTATCTTTGAGAGGATGCCAACTGTTTTAGATACTTTTTTATGTGTTGGATATAGGTGTTGAATAGGTTGCAATCAATGTGTAGACCCAGGAATGTTCCCTCATTATTTTCAGCAATATGGATGTTGTTAAGCATAATGTTTAGCTGGACCTCACTTGCTCTACTCCAAAACAATGTAAAAGATTTTGTGTATATTCAGTGTAAGTTTATTGACAGTCATCCAGGTTGCTATTTTTGTGAGCTCTTAATTAACAATAGTATTGAGTGAGGTGAGATTAGGGTGGGAGATGATAAAAGTCATGTCGTTGGCAAAGAGAATAGGCATAAGCTGTTGTGATATGCTTGGAAGGTCACTGATGTATAAAAGGAAAAGGGGGGGGGGAGGGTAACAAGAACACTTCCCTGTAGTACACCAGTGTCTAGGGGTCTTGTTGAGGAGGTTGTGTCCTTGACAGAGATGTATTGCTTTCTATTAATAAGGTACGACCTGACATATGCAAGTGCATGGTCTCTTATACCGCAATGATCAAGCTTGAGGAGTAGGATCTTGTGGTCTACTGCATCAAAAGCTTTCTTAAGGTCGATAAAAAGTCTAAGTGGGTATTTGTTTTTTTCAAGTGCTGTGTAAAGAAGGTCTTTGAAAGTATGGTAGGGATATAATGGTTTGCTGGATCATGATTGGACTGCCATTCTGCTGCCCTTGTAAAAAGGCAGCTAGAGAATGAGTGATTATTAAAGTTATTATTCAAGTCACTATATTTGTGAAAAATTAATACTAATTAAAAGTACACATGTGCTCTCACTTTATGCAACAGATATATTCCTGGCCCATATCAGTTGTATTAAGCTCACTCAGGTGATCAACTTAGGCACCAACCATTCCAACACTATATCCCCCACCTGCTTTTAACATTTCTGTCTCGACCCCCATCTATCCCAGCTGCTTCACCCTCTTTCGTTCTACCCACTGTCTCACACACTTCATCCCACGCTCACATTTGACTCTACCTTATTCCTACAAGGTGTTATACCCCTTGTATCCATTCACTCCTATCCAACACACTCACACAAGCCTGCCAGATGTTCAAGTCACTAAAACACAAAGCCTCTTGTACCTGCACACTATATAATTATTATTTAACATCATAATGGGAAGTGTAGCAAAGCTGGAGAATGCCTATAACCAAAATTAAGTATAAAATTACCTTACACACTTGAAGTGCTGTCTTCCTCCTCAAAACAGCATACTGAGCAGCTTGTTGATAGTAGAAACCTGGGTGTTGTGTCTGTACTGCAGGCAGACCTCCTCGAACAGCTTCCTCAAACACATCTCCAAAAATTTGGTATCTGTATTTAATAAATTATTTAATACCTAGTTTACCATGTTAAGATTATTTGAATGTTTACAACTCCTAAGACTAGTGCATTTACATTTATATTAGCACTTTTTCACTATCTCACAATATCTGCAACTGGCTGATTTATATAGTATTAGCACTTATAATCTTTCTTCTTTCAACAAACCAGCTGTATCCCACCAAGGTAGGGAGGCCCAATAAGAAAAACAAGTTTCTCTTTTTAAATTTAGTAATGTACACAGGAGACGGGGTTAGAACTTTTAATATCTCACAATATCTGCCACTTACTGTATGTCAGCACTTTCCACTATCTAAAAATATCAGTAGGTCACTCATGTATGCTAGTACTCCCCACCATCCCATAATACCCTGTGTGACACTTACTCATTTACACTAGCACTCTCCAGTAACTCACAATATCTGCCACTTATTAATGTTAGCACTCCACTATAACACAATATCTTGCATTAATGTCCCACAAAGCTATACACTCTTGCATAATAAAGCTTCACATATTACAGGAGTTAAAAATTTATTTCTGTTGTAGTGACCATGAGAGCCAGCATACGGGCAACAGATCATCCGGTACTTCTTGTAGTATGGACAAATTGCAAGACTACTTTTTTTGTAAGACTAGTTTACTGGGTGGTCGCAGATGACTTTGTATGAAGTGCATGCTCACTCATATTGTTTACACTGCAGTTGTTAGTAATGATCCCTTGCTTTCTGTGTGATTCTTAGCATATTTTACCAACTAGCTATACAAGTGTGTAACTTGTCAACAGCTTTGGCTATTGACAAGTTAACTGAGTTGTCAGATGAATTAATCAAAGGGCTAGAACACCATTCCTTTGTGAGTGAATAAGAACCAATAATTTTTTATTTAGCCCTTTCATTGACCAGACCCCTGATCTGAGAACTGTTCTCAGAAAAAAAAAAAAAAAAAAAAAAAGGTGATGCTAGGCCTCCCCCATACCAAAACAATGGCCTCACCCAAGAGGTGGAAGAACACCCCATAACAGTAATGTTGGCACTAATTCTGCCCCAGCTCGACATAATGGTAATGGTGTGGTACTATGTACTGGAAGCGAAAAGGTAAACTCAAATCACATAATAATGTAAACATGAGCCAATATCGTGTGACTTATAAGAATTTACTGTACTATACATGAATAATCTGCTAGTATCTGAATACGTATTTGAAAATATCTAAAAAATTTGGACTAAAGCATGAAGATAGCTGTCAGATGATGTATTTATAACTCCTAAGAATACTTACTGCTTTGAAAGCCATGCATAATGTTCAAAGATTAATTCTTTGGGCCCTGTCCTTTGTCGAAACAAATCAATATGACGTCTGAACTGGGATATTGCATCTCGAGGAAGATTAAGGGCAAAATCTAGGCGACAAATCTTGTAGTTTACAACAGCTGCAACAATGCGTATTTCATGCAAGTTGGTATCTGTTGATCGTAGGTCTAGAAGAAGGTGGTAACACTGAGCATAGTGCCTGAGAAATAAAATGAGGCTTCTATACATTTAGACCATCAAAAACACAGGCAAGTAGGTATTGGGTAGGGAACAGTTGTTCTGTATTAAAGGAGGTCTCACAGAGTTCAACTGCAGAAATATAATATACCGCAATAAAGAAAAGTAGTAACAATATATTTAAAAAACAGTGGTCAACATTATTACAAAGAACTGAGAACTGGTATGGTGACAATGATTGCAAGAAATGCCCACTCACCCATCAGAATCACACCTACCTGACAAGCACCCTGAAGTCACCAATATGGTCAAATTATACTATTTTCAACAAATTCCAGAGTATAAAATGAACACTGTAGGCATTCCAGTCATTAGAGCAACCTTTCCTCTGTTCATTCATCACATCCCCAAGCCTATATTACATAAAGCTTTTCCTCAATTCTAAATCAAATATCACACAAAAGTTTTTAATTTTACCCTATTTCTCAGCAAAATAAAATACAGTGGAACCTCGGTATACAACCAGCTCTCTACTCGAACAAAGCTCAGCACTCGACCAAACAAATATGACTTGCCAGAACTTTGTTGTAAACTATTTCGTGTTTCTTCGCATTTTTTGGTGTTTTTTGTATTATTTGTATAAATAAGTCACCATGGGGCCTATGACGATTAGTGATAACAGCCAACCAAACGGAGCGGCACTCGAACAACCTTCTGGAATGAATTAAGGTCGTATACCAAGGTTCCACTGTATAACTAAGAATGCTTGTTTGTGGTTGAGGCCATCCCAATAATTGAAGCAGACTTTATAACCAATAAAATAGACCATAAAAGGGGAGAGGGGGTCCCCCTATACTTCTCCGTGAAAATCGTCCAATAATGACCATTTTTCGTCAATATGATGTAAATTTTAGGCCACTTCTGGTCTTAAACTAATCCAAATTTTGTCCATTTCATGTCTTCTGGTCTATCTAATAGAACTAAAAAAGCAGCCAATAAAACTTTGAAAAATCACCCTAGAAATAGTACCAAATTTGTTATTTTTACCAAGATGCAGGATGTCAGAGGTTACCTGCTCCTATTATGTACTGCATGCCACTCACAGCAAATCTAAAGGCACTATGACTTATGCATACACCTAAGACACAGATACTAATCTCACTGACGTAGTTATATATGACTGACAGTTTGAGGGATAAGTCTTGTAGATGACTGGTATTGTTTTAACCTGAAGCCACCTCAAGAAGAAGGACACACTGGCCATCTTTCACTAAGGCCGGGTCACCCAAAAAAGGAAAAACACTTTTATCATCATTTCACTCTGCCACTCTCTTGCCAGAGGCATGCTGATACTACCTCAGATGCCTCTCCAAACTGCAATATCCCCACCTCTCCATCAGGGTGCAAGCACTGTATTTCTCACTGTCAGGACCCAAGTCTGGCTAACCAGTTTTCCTGAATCCCTTCATAAATGTTACCTTGCTCAAACTCCAACAGCATGTCAAGTCATAAATACCAGTTGCTTCCACTCTTATCTAACAGCTCACATACATATATACACCTGTGGATGTCCATGGATAACATTCTTTGTCTCCAAATATAGTTTAACCCTTTCAGGGTCCAGACCCACAATCTGAAACTTGTCCACAGGGTCAAAGAATTTAAAAAAAAAAAAAATTATGAAATGGTAGAGAATCTTTTTCTGAGGGTAATAAAACAACAGAACGAAATTTGATAGAAAATTGACGAAATTACACTTTCATGAATTTTTCTGTGTGAGGGATATTTACTCATAATAGGTGATTTTGTCCACTTTGACTCCTATTTTAGGACAAATACATTGTTCCACTTGACCAAATTCTTAGCTATTTTGCTAGTATGTCTCCTATTTTATTTATTTATTTTATGTCTTTGCAAACAGTACGTTGAGATTTTGTATTTACAATAGTGGGTTGCACTGCAAAGAGAGCCTCTATTATGCCTAGGCATTATGGGCCAACTTAACATTATTGGCTTACAGTATACTTAACACTAAGGAGTATATCATAGTTGTACAATAGGATAGTAATTATTTCATAGTTGTATAGTAGAATATTAATTATAAATGAATCAAAATTTGTATAATACAAAGATGTATTTTTATTCGAAAATGCTTTTTGTGAAAGCAATGATTCAATTATATTCCTGTCAACAATGGATAAAAGGCTCAAAGTGATTGTTGAAGTTATGATGTGGGAGTACATAGGTGAGTAAGTGTGTACTGAGTATTTAGCATTTAGTCTAGGGTGATTAAGTGGCTTTTGAGAAGAGTCTTACATTGATTTTCAGACTGGGTTACTTTAATATCTTCTGGTAATGAATTCCATATTTTGGGGCCCTTTATGTGCATAGAGTTTTTACACAGTGTGATATGGACACGAGGTATATCAAAAAGAGATCTGTGTCTTGTGTTGTGCAGAAGAAACTGAGCACAAGAAACCACCCAATCAACTACTGTATTTGAATTACCCAATAAAGTGATCATAAATCTGTAATTTGGCCAATTTCACATAAATTTCAAAATAATCCAATTTCAAAATAGTGTCCAGAACAAACAATGCAGACATTCCTGGCACTAAACTAACATTTCCTCTGTTCATCAGTTACATTTCCAGGCTTTACACATGAATTCCATTTTGAGTTTTTATTCATACAATGAATTTTTATTCACACAAAAAATAAAAGATTTACTGTTATGTAATATTGTAATAATTATATAAATAATATCAGCACATTCATGAATGCATATTAGACCCACAAGTTGATGTGTATTGGATGGATGATGTGATTTGTTTACTCTTAAACATTAGCAAAAATCAAAATTTCTTCTGTTTTGAGCTCAATTTCAAACAATTTTCAGTCCTAAAACTAATCAAAATCATCTCCATTTCTGTAATATATCTTCCATTCTATCAAATGAGACCAAGAAATCATGAATACAACCATGAAAAACTATACGAAAATACACCACAAAGTCGCTGTTGTACAACAAACACACAGTCACATTTTTTCTCATCATGCATTGCATCCTGCAGGATGTTTTTCATATGGTGCACACTTACCACATAGACCCAGTTTTTCATCTAGGCCCAAATTTACTGCTCAGAGCTTATCTGAGTGAGCTGAGCTCATCACGTAGTACTATGGCACGAACCCTGGCTTCAAACTCATAGAACAACGACACAGACCTTGAAAGGGTTAATGCACCTTTTTCCCCTCTCATCAATTTTATGGCTCACTTCATCTTTCATGGACCTGTCCAAAGAGAAGTCCACTCCCAAATATTTGAACATATTCACTTCCTCCTTACTAATTCCCTCCAATCTTTCATTACCTAAATTTTTTGTTACTTTCATCACTTTGCTCTTTCCTAAGTTCACTTTTAATTTCCTTCTTTATATACCCTTGAAAATTCATCCACCAACCTTTGTAACTTCTCTTCAGACTCTCCCAAAAAGCGCTGTCATGTCACTGGTTAAAAGTAAATACTGTACAACAACTCCTGCTCAACTGGATTCTTTATTTTTTAATACACCACCTCTCCCCAACACCACTAGCACCTATTTTACAACCCCATCTATAAACATGTTAAACAACTGTGGTGACATCACACATCCCTATCTAAGACCTACTTTTACTGGAAAATAATTTCCTTCTCTCCTACATACCCTAACCTGAACCTCACTATCCTCATAAAAACTTTTAACTGCCATAAGTAACCTACCACTTATTCCATACACTTGCAACATCTGCTGCACTGCTTCCCTATCCACCATATCATATGCATTTTCTATATTAATTAATGCAACAAAAACTTCTTACCCTTTTTAAATATTGCTCTCTTATATGTTTCAGTGTAAACACTTGGTCTACACATCCCATACTGTTCATGAAACCTTGTTCATCTGCATTCCTTCTCTCTGTCTTATCCTTAATTCTTTCAATAATAACTCTATCATACACTTTATCTGGTATACTCAACAGGCTTATTCCCCTATAATTCTTATTCTCTCTTTTTTTCCCTTTTCCTATATATAAAGAAACTATACATGCTCTCTGCCAATCCATAGGTAAGAACATAAGAATGGAGGAACTCTGCAGAAGGCCTACTGGCCCATACAAGGAAGGTCCTTATCAAAATGACCCTTACCCAAAGCTTCCCAAGAATATCCTCCCATTCCCAATGACACCAATCAAACCCAGCCCCTCCCACTCATATATTTGTCCAATATCTTTTTAAAGATACCCAAGATCCTAGCCTCAATCACCCTACTTGGGAGATTGTTCCACGCATTCACAACTTTGCTCAAATACCAGTACTTACCTATGTCCTCTCTAAATCTAAACTTATCCAACTTAAATCCATTATTTCTGGTTCTTACCTGATTCGACACCCTCAGTACTTTATTAATATCACCTTTGTTTATACCCATCATCCACTTATACACTTCAATGATATCTCCCCTCATTCTATCTCTCTCCAGAGAGTGAAGATTCAAGGAGATTTCTTACACAGTAAATCATTTTAGTCATTCTTACTCCCTTTCATACATTTACTGAATAAATGTACCAACTACTCCAAAAGTACATTCTCACCTGCTTTTAACATTAATGTCTTCATCACATAAATCCCAGCTACTGTACCTCCTTTCACTGTACACACCTTCCCCACACTCACACAGGGCTCTTTCTCACTCCTAAAAGATGTTATATCTTCTTGACCAATGCACGAAATTTTGGCCTCCCTCTCTTCATCAACATTCAACAGCACCTCAAAATATTCCTTTTATCTTCCCAATCCAGTGGAACCTCAAATATCGAACTGTTCCCAACTCAACCAATTATGTAAATGTATTTTTGTAAGTTCTAGGTAGTAGGTTGGTAGACAGCAACCGCCCAGGGAGGTACTACCGTCCTGCCAAGTGAGTGTAAAACGGAAGCCTGTAATTGTTTTACATGATGGTAGGATTGCTGGTGTCCATTTTTCTGTCTCATAAACATGCAAGGTTTCAGGTACGTCTTGCTACTTCTACTTACACTTAGGTCACACTACACATACATGCATAAGCATATACGTATATACACACCCCTCTGGGTTTTCTTCTATTTTTCTTATTAGTTCTTGTTCTTGTTTATTTCCTCTTACCTCCATGGGGAAGTGGAACAGAATTCTTCCTCCGTAAGCCATGCGTGTTGTAAGAGGCAACTAAAATGCCGGGAGCAAGGGGCTAGTAACCTCTTCTCCTGTATATATTACTAAATGTAAAAGGAGAAACTTTCGTTTTTCCTTTTGGGCCACCCCGCCTCGGTGGGATACGGCCGGTGTGTTGAAAGAAAGAAAGAAAAGATTTTTGTAAGTGCTTTTATAAGTGTATTTTTAAGGGTCTGAAATGAACTAATCTAATTTACATTATTCCTGATGGAAATAAATTTGTTCGGTATTTGCACTCGAACAGCCGTCTGGAATGAAGAAAGTTCAATATCTGAGGTTCCACTGTACCTCCACCTCCCCATCTCATAACTCCCCTCTTCTATTTTTAATATTATTTTACTATTTTTGAATATGTAAATTTCTATAATGCATGCTCAGCACAATCTATAACTACAAATTATTCACAGAAAACTGAACTCTTTTGTATTTTCTATTAAATCATGTAATGATTGCCACAGAAGTATACTGTTCGAATGTATTAATGTTGAATTTGTCTTTATTCCAAAGAATCTTTATTCTTTGCAGAAAGTGTACAAAAATAAAGAATACTCATCTGATTTCATTCAAATGCTTTAGGTAAAACTAATAAAAACACTGTTTCTTACTTGATAGCTGCTTGTGAATCATTGCGTAACTCATTGAGAAAGCCAAGTTTAAATTGATGTCTCACAAACAACAGTGTGTGTGTGGTCTTGTTAAGAAAATCTCGATGAGCTCGTACACCCTTTGTCTCACCAAGATAGAATGTCCAGGCAATTTCACTTAATGCATTCTCCAACCTAGAAAAAATTAAGATTTAACATATTCATTAATCCAGAGGCAATAATGGTAAACTGTGGAAAGCAATGTGAGCTTGACTATTTTCCTGCAAAGTTCAACTAAAAGCTGAAGGAAGAATAGTATAAACTGAACACCTCTGTTTTTAACAATGCCCCAATAACTTAACACAGAATGAGGTGAGGGGGATATAACCATCACAACAGTACCTGTTTTGCCTACCTGCATGAAAAATTTACCAAGCAACAGACATCATAGCAAGGTAAGAGCTACATACAGTAGGTCTACCCCCCACCTTACAATACCAAGGCCTTCCAGAAAATTATTTTGGAATTCTGAAGTTATGTTACTGTAGACATCGATGTTATAAGCAGAGATGCACTCCTCAGACAGAATTTCTCATATTTAATTTCATATAGTTTTCTAAATATTTTAATTCAGTACTGTTCCTTTTCACTTACATTACAAGTATACACTAATTAGATATTGTTTAATTAATGTACACTTGTTAATTAAATATTACAGAGCTGAAATAGTGTAGAGTAGCAAGAGTAGAGTACATGCATGTAGCTGTGGAAAGTAACTGGACTGTCTTCCCTCTCATTCTCACTCTACCAATCATGCTAACCTTCTCTTCCATTATATCTAACTCAAGATTCTGTACATATGTTCATCATCACTGCCTCAATGTTATGCTGAGTGCATCAGGTGTCTGGGTATATAGTGTGGGAAGTAGTGGTGAGGATAAGTGTGTGATCTTGTCTTACCAACTTTATAAAATTCTATAATAAAGTAATGGATGTGAGACAAGAGAGCAGGATGGGTGGATTAGGCATTTGGTACTATACCCCATGTGAGAATGGGACAAAAACTTTAAATGCCATCAAGAACAAAAGGTAACATGCTTCTGTGAATCAATAGTACCTTAGGAAAAGGAAACAAAGAGTGGTTATCCAGGAAGAGATGTCAGAATGGGGAAGAGTAAGAAGCAGGGCACCACAAGGATCAATATTAGGTCCGGTACTGTTCTGGTTTATGTGAATGACATATCAAAAGAGACTAAGTCAGATGCATCTCTGTTTGCTGATAATGTAAAACTAACGAGGAAAATACAAACAAAAAAGATGGGGAAAGACTGCAAATGAATCTGGACAAACTGCAGGGTTGGTCAGATGAAGAGTTCCTTGAGTTCAACCCCAGCAAATACAAGATTATAAAGATTGGGGAAGGGGCCAGAAAATTGAACACAGAGTATAGACTCTGGGCACAGAGGCTGCAGACCTCATTCCAAGAGAAAGACCTGGGAATAAGCATATATCCAGCATATCACCAGAGGCTCTCATCAACTTCTGTAGCAAGTGCTTGCCTGGCAAATCTGAAAATGGCTTTCAGGAATCTCAACAAAAAATCCTTCCAGGTAATTTTGACAACATACGTCAGGCCCATCTTGGAGTACGCAGTACCAGTATAGAACCCACACCTGAGACAGCAGGTTAAGAAACTGAAGAATATTTTACCAGCATGCACCAAGTATCATCTTACCTGACAGTATATCCCAGAAGATGAGCATCAGAATGTGGCAGTACAAAAAGATGTTTAGCAGGTAGATCACAGGCAGTGCAGAGTGTTGCTGCCTTCTCAGCTGCCCCAGTGTCCTCTCCAGGTACACTGATACCACTCTGGATAAGAACTAGTGCTACACGACTGTTGCGACTTCCCAAAACACTCCTGCAACACTCAGCACAAAATAAGTAACATTATTTACTACCTGCATTTATAAACAAAATCTGGCAATCTATTATTCACCATCTGCTGTTACAGTGGCATTCCATCAACTACCAAGTTCCTTATATAAGAGAAAATACTTCAAATCAATTACAGGTCTCCCTCAACATTCACGTTTTCAACTTTCACGGGCTTCACACATTCGCGAATTCCCAGCCACCAAATTCCCAGCCACCAAATTCCCAGCTGCCAAATCATATTTAAGTTTCCCGCCACCTGCAAGTCCCTACTACCCTCCCTCCGACCCCGGCAACTGGCAGCCAGCCCTCCCACCACTCAGTGTGGTGAGTGTTTTGTTTGTTCATTATTTGCTATTAAACTACAGTATAAATAATGTAAACCCATTCATGACTGCATATTGGAATGGCTATTCGGACAGGTATTAGACGGTGACATCATGTGTTTACTCTTGAACACTGCAAAGAATTAAACATTTCTGCTACAGCTAATAATAACAATAGTAATAATAATAATAATAATAATAATAATAATAATAATAAATATGATATAATTGAAGAAGGAAATTGTACAAAAATACGAGGGAGTGGTTGACACATCGTCAGTGTGACTGTTTATGCTAGGAGTGAACATTAGTCGCCCTGCTCTTTCAAACATTTCACAATAATTCATTGTGTTTGGTGCTTGTAGATTGAGTGTGACTGGAGTGGTAGAGGCAGTGATTGAGGCAATGGTATTTAATAACATACATGTTAATAATAATACATGTTAAGTATAGTTTTGAATCAAGTGTGAGAGTAATGGTGGTTGGGGATTTCAATGCTAAAGTGGGTAAAAATGTTACGGAGGGAGTAGTAGGTAAATTTGGGGTGCCAGGGGTAAATGTAAATGGGGAGCCTTTAATTGAGCTATGTGTAGAAAGAAATTTGGTAATAAGTAATACATATTTTATGAAAAAGAGGATAAATAAATATACAAGGTATGATGTAGCACGTAATGAAAGTAGTTTGTTAGATTATGTATTGGTGGATAAAAGGTTGATGGGTAGGCTCCAGGATGTACATGTTTATAGAGGGGCAACTGATATATCAGATCATTATTTAGTTGTAGCTACAGTTAGAGTAAGAGGTAGGTGGGAAAAGAGGAAGGTGGCAACAACAAGTAAGAGGGAGGTGAAAGTGTATAAACTAAGGGAGGAGGAAGTTCGGGCGAGATATAAGCGACTGTTGGCAGAAAGGTGGGCTAGTGCAAAGATGAGTAGTGGGGGGGTTGAAGAGGGTTGGAATAGTTTTAAAAATGCAGTATTAGAATGTGGGGCAGAAGTTTGTGGTTATAGGAAGGTGGGGGCAGGAGGAAAGAGGAGTGATTGGTGGAATGATGAAGTAAAGGGTGTGATAAAAGAGAAGAAGGTAGCTTACGAGAGGTTTTTACAAAGCAGAAGTGTTATAAGAAGAGCAGAGTATATGGAGAGTAAAAGAAAGGTGAAGAGAGTGGTGAGAGAGTGCAAAAGGAGAGCAGATGAAAGAGTGGGAGAGGCACTGTCAAGAAATTTTAATGAAAATAAGAAAAAATTTTGGAGTGAGTTAAACAAGTTAAGAAAGCCTAGGGAAAGTATGGATTTGTCAGTTAAAAACAGAGTAGGGGAGTTAGTAGATGGGGAGAGGGAGGTATTAGGTAGATGGCGAGAATATTTTGAGGAACTTTTAAATGTTGAGGAAGAAAAGGAGGCGGTAATTTCATGCACTGGCCAGGGAGGTATACCATCTTTTAGGAGTGAAGAAGAGCAGAATGTAAGTGTGGTGGAGGTACGTGAGGCATTACGTAGAATGAAAGGGGGTAAAGCAGCTGGAATTGATGGGATCATGACAGAAATGTTAAAAGCAGGGGGGATATAGTGTTGGAGTGGTTGGTACTTTTGTTTAATAAATGTATGAAAGAGGGGAAGGTACCTAGGGATTGGCGGAGAGCATGTATAGTCCCCTTATATAAAGGGAAAGGGGACAAAAGAGATTGTAAAAATTATAGAGGAATAAGTTTATTGAGTGTACGAGGAAAAGTGTATGGTAGGGTTATAATTGAAAGAATTCGAGGTAAGACAGAATGTAGGATTGCGGATGAGCAAGGAGGTTTCAGAGTGGGTAGGGGATGTGTAGATCAAGTGTTTACATTGAAGCATATATGTGAACAGTATTTAGATAAAGGTAGGGAAGTTTTTATTGCATTTATGGATTTAGAAAAGGCATATGATAGAGTGGATAGGGGAGCAATGTGGCAGATGTTGCAAGTATATGGAATAGGTGGTAAGTTACTAAATGCTGTAAAGAGTTTTTATGAGGATAGTGAGGCTCAGGTTAGGGTGTGTAGAAGAGAGGGAGAATACTTCCCGGTAAAAGTAGGTCTAGACAGGGATGTGTAATGTCACCATGGTTGTTTTAATATATTTATAGATGGGGTTGTAAAAGAAGTAAATGCTAGGGTGTTCGGGAGAGGGGGGGGATTAAATTATGGGAAATCAAATTCAAAATGGAATTACACATTTACTTTTTCCTGATGATACTGTGCTTATGGGAGATTCTAAAGAAAAATTTCAAAAAGGGTTTGTGGATGAGTTTGGGAATGTGTGTAAAGGTAGAAAGTTTAAAGTGAACATAGAAAAGAGTAAGGTGATTTAGGGTATCAATGATTTAGATAAAGAAAATTGGATATCAAATTGGGGAGGAGGAGTATGGAAGAAGTAAATGTTTTCAGATACTTGGGAGTTGACGTGTCGGCGGATGGGTTTATGAAGGAGAGGTTAATCATAGAATTGATGAGGGAAAAAAAGGGGAGTGGTGCATTGAGGTATATTGGGAGTCAAAAAACGTTATCTATGGAGGCAAAGAAGGGAAGTATGAAAGTATAGTGTACCAAAACTCTTATAGGGTGTGAAGCTTGGGTGGTAAATGCAGCAGCGAGGAGATGGTTGGAGGCAGTGGAGATGTCCTGTTTAAGGGCAATGTGTGGTGTAAATATTATGCAGAAAATTCGGAGTGTGGAAATTAGGAAAAGGTGTGGATTTTAATAAAAGTATTAGTCAAAGGGCAGAAGAGGGGTTGTTGAGGTGGTTTGGTCATTTAGAGAGAATGGATCAAAGTAGAATGACATGGAAAGCATATAAATCTATAGGGGAAGGAAGGCGAGGTAGGGGTCGTCCTCGAAAGGGTTGGAGAGAGGGGGTAAAGGAGGTTTTGTGGGCAAGGGGCTTGGACTTCCAGCAAGCGTGCGTGAGCGTGTTAGATAGGAGTGAATGGAGACGAATGGTACTTGGGAACTGACGATCTGTTGGAGTGTGAGCAGGGTAATATTTAGTGAAGGGATTCAGGGAAACCGGTTATTTTCATATAGTCGGACTTGAGTCCTGGAAATGGGAAGTACAATGCCTGCACTTTAAAGGAGGGGTTTGGGATATTGGCAGTTTGGAGGGATATGTTGTGTATCTTTATACATATATGCTTCTAAACTGTTGTATTCTGAGCACCTCTGCAAAAACAGTGATTATGTGTGAGTGTGGTGAAAGTGTTGAATGATGATGAAAGTATTTTCTTTTTGGGGATTTTCTTTCTTTTTTGGGTCACCCTGCCTCGGTGGGAGACGGCCGACTTGTTGAAAAAAAAAAAAAAAAAATTAATAAAATGTACTATTATTATTTATAACATGTTATTAAATACATACATGTTAATAATAATACATGTTATTAATAATAACATGTACTATTATTATTTATAACATTCTTTCTTTCTTCTTTCAACACACCGGCCATATCCCACTGAGGCGGGGTGGCCCAAAAGGAAAAACGAAAGTTTCTCCTTTTACATTTAGTAATATATACAGGAGAAGAGGTTACTAGCCCCTTGCTCCCGACATTTTAGTCGCCTCTTACAACACGCATGGCTTACGGAGGAAGAATTCTGTTCCACTTCCCCATGGAGGTAAGAGGAAATAAACAAGAATAAGAGCTAGAAAGAAAATAGAAGAAAACCCAGAGGGGTGTGTATATATGTGCTTGTACATGTATGTGTAGTGTGACCTAAATGTAAGTAGAAGTAGCAAGACATACCTGAAATCTTGCATGTTCATGAGACAGAAAAAAGGACACCAGCAATCCTACCATCATGTAAAACAATCACAGGCTTTCGTTTTACACTCACTTGGCAGGACGGTAGTACCTCCCTGGGCGGTTGCTGTCTACTAACCTACTACCTAGTTTATAACATATGTTATTAAATACCACTGCCTCAACCGCTGAATTATTGTGAAATGTTTGGAAGAGCAGGGAGACTAATGTTCACTCCAGCATAAACAAAGTCACACTGACGATGTGTCAACCACTCCCTCGTATTTTTGTACAATTTCCTTCTTCAATTATATCGTATTTATTATTATTATTATTATTATTATTATTACTATTGTTATTATTAGCAATAGCAGAAATGTTCGATTCTTTGCTGTGTTCAAGAGTAAACACATGATGTCACCGTCTAATACCTTTCCTAATAGCCATTCCAATATGCAGTCATGAATGGGTTTACATTATTTATTCTGTAGTTTAATAGCAAATAATGAACAAACAAAACACTCACCACACTGAGTGGTGGGAGGGCTGGCTGCCAGTTGCGGGGGTCAGAGGGAGGGTAGTAGGGACTCGCAGTGGTGGAGGCATTGGTGGAGTCTGTGGTATTTAATAACATACATGTTATTAACATACATGTTATTAAATAACATACGTTATTAAAGCATAACATTTATATATTTAGTACAATTTACGACGTTTTCACGTATTTTATGATTATTCATGGTTCAACAAGTTAAGGAAGCAGTATTGTAATATATTTCCCTACAATATATTGGGGCACCAAACATTCACGTTTTTTCAACATTCGCGAGGCTCTTGATCCCCTAACCCTCGCGAATGTTGAGGGAGACCTGTATTTTTTCTGTTAATTTTT